GTCAATGAAAGACCAGTGGGTAAAGATGCTTAGAGCTGTAGTGGGAAGCACTGACAGGTTGAAGTTGTTCCAGGTCACACATCTACTCAGTCGAGCAGCTGGGACTGGAATTCAGTCTGGTTCTCAAAAAGTTATCCACTCTTATTTTTTTAAAATATTTTATTTATTCATTCATTAGAGAGAGAGAGAGAGAGAGAGAGAGAGAGAGAGAGGCAGAGACACAGGCAGAGGGAGAAGCAGGCTCCATGCAGGGGCCTGATGTGGGACTTGATCCTGGGACTCCAGGATCACACCTTGGGCCAAAAGCAGGTGCTAAACCGCTGAGCCACCCAGGGATCCCTTCCACTCTTATTTTTAATAACTGTCTATTAATATCCATTTATTAATATTCATTCATGCTCTACATTGTGGTTAGAACAATTAACATCACTTTTTCTTCCTAATAAACCTAGTAAGCATTTTTCTAGGACCAGATCAATTCCTCTTTCCTTGAGAAACCTTGTCTGACTCATTCTGTATCTTTTTCTATCACACTCTGGCACAACTGATGCCTTTCTCCAGGCTATAGCTCTTGGCCCAAACATCTATTACAGTCCTTAGCAGACTGTGTCCAATCAATTAATTTATGTTAAAAGCTCTCCAGCTAAAATGATTATGTAAAAGGAAGTATGTCTTAATTATTTTTTACTACAGGTATTTAACTTAATTATTAGCAGATAGTACACATTAAATAATACATACGCCGGGACACAGCCCAGGATCCGGCCTCCCCCGGGACAGGCAGAGGCCGGGAGGGCCCAGGACAGCGAGGACGCTCCTGCCCCGAGCTGAGCAGATCAGCGGCCCCGCCCGGAGCCTCCAGGCCCTGCGGACTGAGAGCCGAGAGCCCCGAGCCCCGTAGTTCCTGCGGAGGCTGAATCCAGGCTTCCAGAGTTGCCATAGCAACTGCGGCTGTTCCTCCTGGGGCCCCACGGGGTAAACAACCCCCGCTGAGTCCTGCAGAGGCAGGGGCAGAGCAGCTCCCCCAAGTGCTAACACCTGAGAATCAGCACAGCAGGCCCCTCCCCCAGAAGACCAGCTGGACGGACCAGTGATACTCCCCCGTGTTCCAATACAACTTGTTTTTGGCCACTCTGCACTGAGCAAAATGACTAGAAGGAAAACCTCACCTCAAAAGAAAGAATCAGAAACAGCCCTCTCTCCCACAGAGTTACAAAATCTGGATTACACTTCAATGTCAGAAAGCCAATTCAGAAGCACTATTCTACAGCTACTGGTGGCTCTAGAAAAAAGCATTAAGGACTCACGAGACTTCATGACTGCAGAATTTAGATCCAATCAGGCAGAAATTAAAAATCAATTGAATGAGATGCAATCCAAACTAGAAGTCCTAACGACGAGGGTTAACGAGGTGGAAGAACGAGTGAGTGACATAGAAGACAAGTTAATGGCAAAGAGGGAAACTGAGGAAAAAAGAGACAATCAACTAAGGGACCATGAAGACAGATTAAGGCAAATAAATGACAGTCTAAGGAAGAAAAACCTACATTTAATTGGGGTTCCCGAGGGCGCCGAAAGGGACAGAGGGCCAGAATATGTATTTGAACAAATCCTAGCTGAAAACTTTCCCAATCTGGGAAGGGAAACAGGCATTCGGATCCAGGAAATAGAGAGATCCCCCCTAAAATCAATAAAAACCGTTCAACACCTCGACATTTAATAGTGAAGCTTGCAAATTCCAAAGATAAAGAGAAGATCCTTAAAGCAGCAAGAGACAAGAAGTCCCTGACTTTCATGGGGAGGAATATTAGGGTAACAGCAGACCTCTCCACAGAGACGTGGCAGGCCAGAAAGGGCTGGCAGGATATATTCAGGGTCCTAAATGAGAAGAACATGCAACCAAGAATACTCTATCCAGCAAGGCTCTCATTCAAAATGGAAGGAGAGATAAAGAGCTTCCAAGACAGGCAGGAACTGAAAGAATATGTGACCTCCAAACCAGCTCTGCAAGAAATTTTAAGGGGGACTCTTAAAACTCCCCTTTAAGAAGAAGTTCAGTGGAACAATCCACAAAAACAAGGACTAAATAGATATCATGATGACACTAAACTCATATCTGTCAATAGTAACTCTGAACGTGAATGGGCTTAATGACCCCATCAAAAGGCGCAGGGTTTCAGACTGGATAAAAAAGCAGGACCCATCTATTTGCTGTCTACAAGAGACTCATTTTAGACAGAAGGACACCTACAACCTGAAAATAAAAGGTTGGAGAACCATTTACCATTCAAATGGTTCTCAAAATATACCCTAAAAACTATAGAACACTTCTGAAAGAAATTGAGGAAGACACAAAGAGATGGAAAAATATCCCATGCTCATGGATTGGCAGAATTAATATTGTGAAAATGTCAATGTTACCCAGGGCAATTTACACGTTTAATGCAATCCCTATCAAAATACCATGGACTTTCTTCAGAGACTTAGAACAAATTATTTTAAGATTTGTGTGGAATCAGAAAAGACCCCAAACAGCCAGGGGAATTTTAAAAAAAGAAAACCATATCTGGGGGCATCACAATGCCAGATCTCAGGTTGTACTACAAAGCTGTGTTCATCAAGACAGTGTGGTACTGGCACAAAAACAGACATATAGATCAATGGAACAGAACAGAGAACCCAGAAGTGGACCCTGAACTTTATGGTCAACTAATATACGATAAAGGAGGAAAGACGATCCACTGGAAGAAAGACAGTCTCTTCAATAAATGGTGCTGGGAAAATTGGACATCCACATGCAGAAGAATGAAACTGGACCACTCTCTTGCACCATACACAAAGATAAACTCAAAATAGATGAAAGATCTAAATGTGAGACAAGATTCCATCAAAATCCCAGAGGAGAACTCAGGCAACACCCTTTTTGAACTTGGCCACAGTAACCGGAGAAGGATAAACAGTGTATGTTCTCATTCATTTGGGGAATATGAATAATAGTGAAAGGGAATATAAGGGAAGGGAGAAGAAATGTGTGAGAAATATTAGAAAGGGAGACAGAACATAAAGACTTCTAACTCTGGGAAATGAACTAGGGGTGGTGGAGGGGGAGGAGGGCGGGGGGTGGGGGTGAATGGGTGACGGGCACTGAGGGGTACACTTGACTGGATGAGCACTGGGTGTTATTCTGTATGTTGGTAAATTGAACACCAATAAAAATTAATTTATAAAATTAAAAAAAAAAATAAATAATACATAATCATAAATACATACATGATAGTAAAGCCCAGAGAAATAGTGTAGGCTTAAGGTAAATCAGTGGTTCTCAACTAGAGGTGATTTTGCAACTCCTTCATCCTGCTGAAAACATTTGGCAACGTTTGGAAACATTTTGGTTGTCATAACCCTTGGGGATAACCTTTGGTTGTCTTTCCTTGGGGAAAGAATAATGCTACTGAGTCTGTGCAAAAAGTTAAGGGATACTTGCTAAATATCCTGCAATGCACAGGATAGCCCCACACTTACACCAAAAATATTATCCAGCCCAAAATGTCAGTAGTGTTAATGTTGAGTAATTCTGAGCTATACACTATAGAGAGGGAGTAACACCCCAGATAGAAGAAATAAGGAGAGAAGTCAGAACTGTAAAATTTCTTGCATTTCTTTAATCACAAAATTTAGGGAAGCTATGAACATATTGAAAAACTGAGAAGAGTCAGGGTCTGGATCAAAACTGTACTGTTCATATACTCACCACTCAGGGTTGCCTTGGTGAAAAGAACTCCATACTGTTATAGTGGCATAATGACAAGGAAAGTACACAGTACTTACAGGTGTAGTATATTTGCTCTAGTTATTTTCATTGGAGAGAAGGGGAGTTTGGAAGAAATTTGCACCTCAGACAAAAATAACTATGAAAGAGAAGAAGAATATAACTTATCTTTAAGAAGGTAACTGAAATATGTGCATGCCAGGGAGAGCAGCTATATGGTACCAACATGTTTTTTTCATGTTTTTTTTCTGGACAAGTCAGCCTAGGGAGTGGTTCTCAGCCTGTGGTCCCTAGCACTAAAGCATCAGCATCATCTGAGAACTTATAAGAAATGCAGATTCTCATGTCCCATTCCAGACCTACTGATTCAGAAACTCTGGGGATGAAGCCCAGCAACATACACTGTGATAAGCCCTCCAGGTCATTCTGATACATACACGTAGGTAATAAATAATCTAGTTGCTTATCAATTTTTCTCACCTGTTCCACTAAAGTTAACATCAAGACCTGGAAGGAGCCCTAGGCTAAGAAAAGTTTCACTTAAGCGATGCCTTGTGTAGGATGGCTTGGTTTGAAACAATTGGTCCTGTTTCTTGGACTATTTTCTGTACAGATTTCATTGCCTGAAGAAGTGCAATAATACTTTATCAAGAAATCTGATGTCTTCTTCATATACTAATCCACTTAATTCAGCAATGCTAGTAGACATCATCAATCCTGCCATTTGCAACTATGGATGGACCATGGGGGTATTATGCTAAGTGGAATAAGTCAGAGAAAGATAAATACTGTGTGATCTCATTTACATGTGGAATATAAAAAAGAAGTCAACTCATAGATACAGAGAACAGATTGGTGGTTGCCAGAGGTGTGGGGTGGGCCTGGAAAAATGGGTAAAGGGAGTCAAAAGGTACAAACTTCTAAATAAGTCCTGGGGATGTCATGTACAGCATGGTAACTATAGTTAACAATACTGCATTGTATATTTGAAAGTGGCTATGAGAATAGATCTTGAAACTAAGACAGCACTGTGTATTAACTACACTGCAATTAAAAAAAGTTCTTATCATAAGAAAAAATCTGCTACTGTGTGTGGTGATTGATGTTAACTAGATTTACTGTGGTGATGATTTCACAATAGATATAGATATCAAATCATTATGTTGTATACCTGAAACTAATTGAATATTGTGTTAATTACATCTCAATTTTAAGAAAAGTTATCACATACCAGTTACTCGAAGTTTATCTGTACCAACCACAACTTCCTTTTCATCCACAGTAAACAGTGGCTTGCCATCCTTGGAGTTGATCTGAAACTGTTGACTCTGGACCTCTACCATTTTGGGACCTGAACAATTCATTAAAACAGTTTATTATGAAGTGTTTACTATATGTAGTTGTCAGAAATCTCTATGTTTACATGTCATATCACCCAGCAATACCAAATTACTAAATATATAAAATCTGTTACCAATAGTTCTTTTTAATTCTATGATTAATTTTTTAAGTTCTAAGCTTAAATCTATAAAGCATAATGTATAGAGATGCTGAATCACTATGCTGTACACCTGAAATGAATGTAACATTGTGTGTCAACTAAACTCAAATAAAAAAATTAAAAAACAAAACTAAATAAATGTGTCAATCTAGATCAAATTTATGAATGGACACGTTATCCAAAGGTTTTTTCAACTTTACAACTTGCCTAAAATAACATATTTTTTCTACTCAGATTATTGAAATTTGTAAACTTTGGAATATTAACCAACTAAGGATTTTGTATTCTGAAAATGTGAGATTTGTGAAAGACCATTTTATGAATGGCTCACTTCAATGACCAATGTCAACCCAGAAGATGAATCATACTCAGATTTCCTCCTGTGCCCTTATTCTTGGGAGAGGTCCTTACCTGTTACACGCTGGAGGAAAAGACATCACCGTGGAAAATACTTTCAAGTTTCTGTCCTTTCCCTTCCCCCATGTCATTTTTGTCTTGTTCATGCCTTCCTTCTTTATATTTCAGTGACAGAGGTATCACTTTCCCCTCCAAGTTTCATCTCATCAGATGAGCTTTAGACTCATTGCCTGCCAACTCATTATTTACTCAGCAAAGATTTAGTGGGTACTCCCATGTGATGGGCACTGGGGATACTGTGTCCCCAAGAACATATGTGACCCTTGTCTACTCTCAGGTGTTCATCGTTTCATGTTTCCTAATTCATCTTTGTGCTTCCAGTCTTTCTAACCCTGGCAGCATAATGGATTAATCTCTCCAGAATGCAGCTCTCAGCATTTGCACAAGGAACTACATGCGTTTCCTAATTCTTTTGTGTGTTAGCTTTATAGTCTTATCTGTGAGAGATACTGAGAAAATGAATGGATGTCTTAGAGTTTTTATGTGTGTGTCCCTGTATCCTTCCTAGTACTCATTAAAGTTGATGGATACCTAACCAGAAATGAAATAGAAGCTCTTCAAAGAATACATTAAACAGTTTTGGATATGGTCAACAACATATTCTTATGTTATTTCATTAACTGGTATTGCAAGAGTCTTCAGGGATTCTTCATTTAAATATGTCTGTGTGTATGTGTGGTGTGTGTATGTGTGTCAGTTATAAAGCGGAACTCATTTTTCCTCTCTCAATCTTTTTTCCCTTAAGGAAGCCAGACTTTATTTTTTAGATACTTGCCTGTATTTCTGCTCTTTGTACTTTCACCCAGTCTCAGTCACTCAGAGACTCAGTGTCACCCTTCACCTCTTCTGGGCCACTGCTATATCTTATACTGTTATTGTATAAATACTGCTTTGCACTACATGATGAATATGCAGTTATGGGTATGTAAAATTGACAGGGAGAAAAAAATCTGGGATAATTTATCCAGTAAGACCTCACTGTTGAGCTTCCTGGAAATTCATATAACAGTTCTAGGAGGTTTTATTAGGTAAAAGGGGTTTAACTACATGACTGATATACTTTTTCTGTAACTACTGGTTCATATACAGTGACGAACTAGACAACGAGTTTAGGAGCATAATTTTCATGAGTAGCAAAGTCAAATGAACCTTTACTCAAGTCAAAGGAAATGCAAAAATGCAACTCTTGATTTCAGGGTTGTGAGTTCAAGTCCCATGTTGGGTGTACAGATGACTAAAAAAAAATAAACTTAAAAAATGAAAATGCAAAAAAGTGAGTCTGCACTATTCAGCACGAATTTATGGCATGTTTTTCATGTTCAAGGTTCTGTGCTAAGAATTGAGGATACATAAACAAGTGGGATGTAGCTCACAACTTAGAGGAGTTCATAGCCCACTGAAGAGAAAAGCATATGAACCTAGTTTCAGGACAATTTGGGAAGTGCTGTGATACAAGCATGGGCGGGATCCAATGAGAGCCCTGACAGGGAACCTATGGTCTATTCCAAGGCTCAGAAATGGCACCCTGGGGAAATCATGTCTGAACTGACCTTGAAGAAAGAGTTTCTGTTTCCCTGATGAAAGGAGAATGAGACATGCCAGGTAGAGGGAAATACTTGAGTAAAGGCACAGAAGTGAATAAAATTCTATCTTTGTTTTATTAAATACAAGCAGACATTGAATGTTAAATTTAAATATGTAAAAAAAGTAAATATGTTTTCACTTTAGAAAACACTATTAATATACCAAGTGATGACAAGCCCATAATCATAGGGATAGTCATCTCTTAAAATAACTGGGTTTCTAATTAAGCTTTTAAATTTTATTAATATTCTACTGGTTTTTATTAACCTAGCTGAACACTTATTAGAGCTAAGCAATAATCCTCCATTGGAGTTCTTTAAGAAATATGATAAAAATTCTACCTAGCAGATAAAAATAAGAGCTATCTGGGTAAAGTAATATTTTTCATTAAAGGCTTTGGTACAAAGAAGGAAATGAAAAATGAAGGAAATAAAGGAAGGTTTTATGTTCTGACCAATTAAGTTTGCAAAATTGGCTTGAGGGTTTTGCTGGTGAAAATACAACCAAGGTTTTCCTGACATACAGAATCCTTGATAGCTTCAATGGGATGTGTGACTTCCTCTTCACCCCTTCCATCTCAGGCTCACCGCCCAACCCTCTTCCCATATATACCTGGCAAAGAATCAGTCTCTACATTTCAGGTTTATCCTTTATTTCTTGTGCATAAATGAGCAAACACATATATATTTTCTTATATTCTTTTCTTACTTCCATGAAAGGTAGCATACAGTAGATTCTCTTCTGTACTTTACTTATATTGCTTACAAATACATCCCAGAACTTACTTCATATCAACTCTTAGATATTTTCCTCATCCTTTTTTACAGATACATGGTACCTCCCACATGGATATACTGGCCATTCAGCTATTTACCCAGACATATGGATGTGTGAGTGGTTTCCAATGCTTTGCAATTAGGAATATTGCCACAGAGAAGAACTTTACACACATATTTTGTTTTGTTGGGGTTGTATCTTCAGGATAGATTCCTAGAAGTGGGATTATTGGGTCAAAAGGAGTGTATATATATATATATATATATATATATATATATATATATTTGTTAGATTTTGCCATGTCTCTGACTATATCTTTTTGTACAGCATTGACACAGTAATGTTGCATGCATCCTTCACCCATCTGCACATCCTCCTAAATAAACATTGTGTTTTCCTTCAAAGAAGTTCCCCTTTTATTTTTTTACTGTAAAATTTTCAAAATGTAGAACTTCAAAACTTTTAAACATAAGCAAATATTTTTTGAGTTACTAGTTTTCAGAAAAATTATACAAATTTAACATTATACCCAGAACAGAAAACTTGCTTGGGAAGAAATTCATTCTATATTTCTTCTTTTTCAGACATGCATCTTGTGGTGTTACCTTTTGTCTGAGGGAACATCTATTTTTCAGACTGGGTATTCTGGTTGTAATGCCTCATCATAAAGGTCTTCCCCTTTGTGTTTTATTTTTTATTTTTTATTTTTTTTGGAACTGGAAAGTGAATTCATTTGGATTTTCTTCCTAACATACTGTTTTTAGTCTGTCTTTCTAGCCACTGTAGTCGTTAATCTTGTGTGCTCTACAGACTTGGGCTCTTATGAAAACATTCAATATCCTGAAGTATAAGTCACTTGTTTCTGGGCCCACTGGTGGTATTTCAGTATATTTCATTTTGGGGTTTCCTGAGACAGCACTGTGTTTGTTCCTCAGTTGGAAGAAAATCTAGGTAGATTTTCTGGAAATCTTTCTGGATTAGAATCTGCCTAATTGTTTTTTAAGTTAAAAATGCTTCCTTTATTAAAGCCAATACTGCTACTTCTAAGTTCAACTGTGTGCATCTCTATATTGTTCAAAGTGTCATGCCTGTGATGTTAAAGACAATCACTCCCAAGTGTCATCAGGTAGTGGCTTCCTGTGGGTGTCATCCACGATCCCTGCTCCCTGTTCCACAGATATTCAACAACCTGTTCTAGGGAATGAGCAAGTTCTCTCAGGCTCTGGTGTAGACATAAACTCAAGGTTCTTCCACACTTTCCTATGCCAGAAGCACATGACTCTGAAGGAGACACAGTCAAAGATGCTGCAGGTGACCCAGCTGGTCACTACGCCATTTTATCATCTTCATTAATGAAGTGTTGTGATCATAATAGAGCCCTAATCTGCATTATGATAACAAGGTGTTGTACATTCTCCTGAGGACACACCATGATTTTTATATCCAAGATGCAAGGTCACTCTCCGAACAGTCTCCCAGGTAGCAAGTGGAGAGCCTACTGCAGGTACAGGGAACTGCTTCCTGCACTCCAACTGTGTGCTCAAAATAGTGCTTTGCAAGCGCTGGTTAGAAGTGTTCTGAGGGCACCAGTTTTGGCTTTCCACCCCTCTGTGAACATACTAGTCAGACTCTTGGCAAGTTCTCACTGTTCTTCAGGAAAGAGTGACACATGTAAACCCACTCACCATTGGCATCCTTCTTGCCCCAAGACTGGTACTTCCCACCTATCTCTTGTCATTCTCTACCTCTTTCTCAATTCTAGAATGTCTGCTCTGGAGATGTAATCTAGCATCAAATTCTTCATATTCTTGCACTCTTGCTTCTTGTTTTTTTTATTATAGGATTTATTTATTTATTTTAGAGAGAGAATATGCAAATGGCAGAGGGAGAAGAAGGAGAGAATCTCAAACAGACTCCTTGCTAAGTATGAAGCCCAATATGGGGCTTAATCTCACAGTCCTGAGATCATGACCTGGGTGGAAATCAAGAGTCAGATGCTCAATGGACTGAGCCACCCAGGCACCCCTTTGCACTCTTGCTTCTCTCAAGACCTCTGTAGACTCACCCCAGAATCTCCTGCAACATCTGAGGATATGGTGCTCAGAAAAGCCAAATCAAAGTTCTGGAAGATGTCATCACAATATTCTCTTTGTGTGTTTTACACCGGGTAGATCTTGGAGGGATCTCAGTGAAAGGATATCGAGCTGCTATCTTGGATAGCATTGATTACCACTATCATGACTTCCCTAGACTTTTTGTCAATTACAAAATTGTTGCCCTCAGAGCAATGTTGATGTACTTGTGCAGCTAACAGAAGACTCTTGGTTTTTTCCCTTTGAAGGGGTTTCAGAAACCTTTGTACAAAAGGATCAAAGTTAAAGAGCAAAAGCCCATGAATTCTCATCAATCTGAAGACAGCGTCTCTAAACATCACCCTCATTCACCTCTTCTCAGAGCATGCTTTGTGCTTTAGCAATTCATTTTCTGAACTTGGGGAATCATTAATCAAGCGAACAGCTGAAAAGTCAACCTCTCAGTTATTCTGCTTTTGTCTCCTGAGTACATTCTTAGATTCATAGCCTGTTGCAACTGTATGTTGGGGGCTTCTCTTCTCTGTGGCACACTGCACTACAAGGCCCTTCATCCTCAGATCCTGAGTCACTACCCTGTTCCTCCTATTTCCTTAGGAAGGATTTCAAAGCAGCAATATCTTGGTGACTTCAGAGAAATATGCAGCTGGGATAACCCTGGTATTTTTGGCTTCATTTCTAATATTTCTTCCATTGAGTTAAAAATCATCACATGGAAAGATATCTTGGCTGCAGGTACACTGCTATCTTGTAATTGAGCATGCATGGAATTCCGTAATACTACATTCACTTTATTCTTCTGTTTTACCTTATATGCTTTATATTAGGCACACTCTGAGCATATAAAGTCTTTTGCAGAAGCATATCATGGCAATGCAGTTCTAAGAACCCTAACAAACTTGATGGATTGATGAGATTCTTATTTCTCAGCTTTGCTATTCGAAGACCTGGATCAAAGACATGTGAGATTGTAGCAGAGGGTCTCTTTCAGCACCCAGGAAAATGACTTGTATGTCTGGGTGGCAGTGACCAAACAGTGCCATAAACATCCCCAGCTTCTCCACTGGGTTTTTTTGGTTGTAGTTTGAATAGGTCCACTTGGATTGGTAGCGACTACAATGCTATAGAAATCCCTCAAGGTAGAGGCCAGTGGTCTGGCTGGATCACATTCTGTATCTACTGCCAGTTGCTGGAAAGCTGGTGCTCCACAGGATCCACTGGCTAAGTTCTCGTTAAACTCAACTGCCAAAACTGGCCAGCCCATCTCAGTTGCTGCTTGCTTACTTCTGGGCGTGTCTTATTTTTAAGCTAAACAAAATTCATTTCTATTATTTGAAATTGAAAGAAAATTAACTGTGCTAACCAGAGCTGCACTTAGAATTAGTAAGATTCCATTACTGTTGCTATGAATTGGTATCTTTCAGTTCAAGGATTTGAAATGCTAGCTATTATTGATTACTTGTCAATGTTTGATTTCTTTTGGGATTTAAACTTTTGGTTTTGACTGTATTGGTTGCCATTTTTTTCAGTAGTTTTGTTCATTTAATTAAGTGGGATTAATTTGCTTAGTTCACAGAAATTACATTTTAATATCCAGGTTGGCTAAATTTAGCTTCTTTCAGAAAAGATGAGGCTGGAATGACTGTGATTATGGGAAGTCATTTACTTGAAAATAACCTTGGTGAGCTGAGTGGTATTCCCTGATTCAGGGTTCTTAATATAAAAGAGGTTTTCCAGTGAAAGTTTATTAGGAAATCACTCATTTTAACACAATCTCAAGCATGAAACACCATGGTTAAAACTCATGATTTAAGGTTAATTTAAACTAAAGTAATTCTAATGGGAAATTTTTTTTCTGTTTTTTTTTAAGTACATTTCTTGGTCACAAAAATGGTAACCATACTTGCAGGAACTAGGGCAGTTACTGGTGTGCAATAATTTAGGGATATCTGGTTGGAGAGAGGGAGTGTTACACTCCTGACTGATGGAAATAAGTCCTGAGGTTTGTTTTTCCTGCTAACTACTATTCCTGTTAACTACTAATCCCTGATAACGGTTAATTTGTATTACCTCCTGGTTTGGCTTTTTCTGCTACATAGTGATGTTTTCTTAAGCAAATGAGCTTTCCACAGCTTCAGTTTTTTTCATTCATGCAATTAGAGGCAGGTTTACATTATGTCTAACTCTCTTGTATGATAAATGAAAATCCACATTCAACAAAAAATTAATGAGGAAATATTTGTATTAAATCAATTTTATTGGAGTGTAAAAGGAATCTTTTAATTTTGGAGTTCCTAAGAGATACATGTATATTATTTATATGTTATTACGTACTTAACAGCATATAGAAAGTAGCACATAGGCATCCGATAAATGTTGAACACATGACAAAAGATGAGCAAAAATCCCTCAAACAAAAGCTATAGTCAAAGAATTTTATGAAATAAAGGTGAAAGATAAATCATGATACTACATAATTCATTAAGAAAATACGATTTGATTTAGATAAGTTTCAAGACCATGTACGCTGGATAAACTCAGATTTATCTCTAGACCCACTGAGAATTTTACTGAACTTAGTGATCAAACAAACTTTTAAGCAAAAGATATATTCATTATTAGGAATAAGTTATAAAGATTAAAGAAGAACATATAATATGGAACTCTTGTATTAGTATGATAAAAAGGAACCATTAGGTTCATTAGGTTAATTATATGGCAGTAGTTACCAATGTAACATTATTCTGTTTTGTAAAAACAGCCATTAGAAAAGAGACACTGAAAGTTACTAGTTCGTGTTGGCAGGACACAATTTACCTGTTTTCCCATAATCCAAAGGGCCACCCAATTTTTTGGACTTGGCACATCTATAGACTGCTGGTAGTATAGAGAATGGGTACGTATTCCATTCACTGGGTGGTTTGCTCTTTTGTCATTTCTTCCATCTATGGTCTTTCTCTCTAAGTCTTGTTATCACCATGTGAGATTCCATGGGATCTCACTCCTTGGTGAGATTATTCTTTGGTTTTAGCTGGTTGGATGGGTGTGGTCTGCTGACCCAAGGGCAGCGGGTTAAACATATTAGGTGAACCAATAAGAGTAGTTTGTTGTGAATTTAGAATTTGTGCAATTGAAAACTAAGGTGGTTGGTGTTGAGAACTACAGCCAATCAGGTGAAGAACCAGAGAGGTCCTGTAGGGCCTACAGAGTTAGAACTGATGCAGCCAAGTGAAAACAATGGGCAAAGATACATTGGAAACGAGGGTTATGTGGGAGAGAAGAAAGGAAGGGAGAAGGAGGGGGTTGGGAGAGAGAGAGAGAGACAGAGAGAGAGAGAGAGAGAGAGAGAGAGAATCTTTTGGCTCTTAGCCCTGGTTCTTTTTTTTTTTAAGATTTTATTTATTTATTTATTTATTTATTTATTTATTTATTTATTTATTTATTTAAGAGAGAGAGAGAGAGAGAGAGAGAGAGAGATGCAAGTGTGGTAGGGAGAAGGACAAGCAGACTCCTCATTGAGCATGGATCCTGACTTGGGCTCATTCCCATGACCCTGAGATCACAACATTACCAAAATCAAGAGTCAAGTGTTTAAACGAGTAAGTCACCCAGGCGCCTCCCCAGGCTTCTAGGGGAAATAAAGGTTTAGGTGCCTGTGAGCCTCTTTTCACATTTTCACCAACTGATCAATACATAACTTCGTTTTTGTTTTATGTATGTTTCTGGGTAAGGACATTTTATTTAATATATATTGAGGATTTCCCTAGCTTTATTGGATGTAATTGACAGAAACATTCTGTAAGTTTAAGGCATATAATTTGATAATTTGATATTTGTATATATTGTGAAATGATTACCATAATAACATTAGTTGACACATTAAAAAAAAAACTACTTTGGTTCCTTTGGTCTCAGATCAGATTCTTTTGCATTCTGTAATAATCATTGTTTCTTTTACTACCTTGAATGGTCCTCTATTTCTTAGAATCAAAATAATTTTAATTAGAATACTTCAGACTGTCTCCCCTGTGATGCCAACTATTCTCTGTGGTCAACATAGTATGACATTTAGAAAACTCATAATTTAACTGTTCATAAATAACTCTGAATTTTTTAGAAGAGAAAAAAAATGTATCCATTCAGCACAGCTCCCCATGGAACAATTACATGCCAAGCACTGTGAAATCAGACTCACCCACTTTTAATCTGCCTGTGACCTCTCCTTCAGAGTTGCGTGCATTGACCGTCACATTCTGAGTTGACTGCAGAAGCAGAGATGAGTCCTAGGAAGGCATTTATAAAATTTGACAAATACATACTATTTAAAATGACTGTATCTTTATATTCATACATAAACTTAGGATTTATATGACATAATTTCTCCATAGTCACAGATCCTGTGACACTACAGTATTTTAAAATCCTGGATTATATTACATGAAAAGAGTAATTGAATGTACTTTCCCCCCAAAGTTTAAAACAATACAAATTTATTATATCATAGTTTTTTTTTTTTTTGTGGGTCAGGAGTCCAGGAAGAGTCTACCCTGGTTCTAAGTTCAGGGTCTCAAGGGGATGGCAGGGCTGAGGTTTCATTCCAAGCTCAAGATCTTCTTCTAAGCTGATGTGGTTGGTGACAAAATGCATTTCCTTGTTGCTATAGATGTCCTAACATTTACAAAAATAAATTATAATACTCTTTTGGGTTTCTGCTGCTTATGTGCACTAGCCACAATATACCACAATAGTTCTCAAAGTGAGGATCTAAAATAATCAACTTTTAATCATTGTTTTTTCTATTCCAAGGAATTAAAATTTCATTTCTTATTATTTATGTCAAGGACATGATATATATTTAGGAGGTAAATCAGAGAATGGTTAGTTTTTCTATGATAAATACCATGTTACTTATTTTCCAAATGTGAAGTGTTTTCAAAATTTCAAAAGGGCTTTCTAAAATTTGTCAGATGCTTATGTTCTTTGAATTTTTTGTTGAAAGATAAAATGGCTTCATGGGCACATTGGTGCCTTTTGTGGTATCATAGCTCTGGAGGGGGGGTTTTGTATTACAGATCATCTTTTGCTTTTATATAAACAATTTCTTCAAAAAGAATGCAAGAATTGGGTGGTGAGATTCAGGTAGGTTTATGGTCCATTCAGAGGGAACCAAATATCTTCCAAAGCTGTAGGGAATAACGTGAAATTTCAGAAGGAAAGAAGTTTCAGGAGGGCTCTGGAACTCTGGCAGGTCTAAAATTCTCCAAATTGCTTTGTGGAAGCAGACAGATCTATTGGCATCTCATGTTTTATCCAATGATATGACCTTAATACTGGTTTTTGCACTGTTCAAAAATAACTAGCACAGTAATAAGAGTTAACAGTGCCCCGGGGTCAAGGGGGGCACACCTCATGCAATCTCTGGGCTTTCTCAGTGTGTGGTGGTCTCCTCCTCCATGGTACTCTACCCTATGAACCTCAGGTTGGCTGCTTTTCCTTGGACTCCTAACTGAATCTTCTCAACTTGGAGAGAAGACCTGCCTCTGCGTTGGTCCTCTCCCTCACTGTGGCCTTAGAGAGTCTCTCCAGACAGTAAACTGGGGTAGTCCTAGGGTTCACCTCATTTGTTTCCTCTCTCAGAGAGAACTATCATGACTGCCATGGTGCAGTGTTTGAAAACTGTCCTATTCCACTTCGGTGTTATCACAAACTACCAGAGGCTGGGTGGCTTATAAACAATGAAGCTTTTCTCACAGTTCTGGAGGCTGGGAAGTCTAAGATCATGGTGCTGGCAGATTTGTTGTCCGGTGAGACTTTCTGGTTCACAGAAGGTTCCTTCCAGCTCACATGGCAGAAGGCATGAGGGAGATCTCTCAGGGCTCTTTGGTAAGGGCACTAATCACATCATGAGGGTGCCGTCCTCATGAGCTAATATCCCCAAAGCCAGCCACATCTCCTAGTAATACCACCTTGGGAGTTAGGTAAAACCACTGTTCCATATACATCCCCAGTTTTGTCAGTTGTTCAATAAAAGCACATAAATCTGTTCCCTGTTATTTCTGTCTTGTATTTATCTGTTTTGATTTTGTAATTTCTTGTTCTTTTAATAAAAGCCACTCAGAAATAGCTTTAAACTCTGTGAGATTTTTTAAAATTTAAAGACAATTAGCCAACATACAGTACATCTCTGTGAGAGTCTTAAGTGTGCTCTTCTAGTCATTTTCACAATGGTTCTTTTTACTTCGATGGAAGTGGATTCTCTTTTTGTGTAGAGTTCATTTGGCCTCCTTATTTTATTTATTTATTATTATTTTTTAAGGATTTTATTTATCCATTCATGAGAGACACAGAGAGGCAGAGACACAGGGAGAAGGAGAAGTGGGCTCCCTGCAGGGAGCCTGATATGGGACTTGATCCCAGGACCCTGGGATCACGATCTGAGCTAAAGGCAGATGCTCAACCACTGAGCCACTCAGGTGCCCCTTGGTGTCCTTATGTTAGATGGAGGTTTCCTCATGTGGTTTCAAGTTTCAAGTCTCAAGCTCCCTGTGTGGATCTATTTTAATTTTGGCACTCATGCAGCCTGTCTTAAGACTTTATCATCGTTTTCATTCAGACCCCCAGGCTTCTCAGTTTTCTAATAGTGGTTCAGGGCTTGTGTCCTCCGTGACACCCGGGTCTTGGTCTGGCATCTTTATGGGTTCCATTCCACACATACACAGCTATATTCAAGCCTGGGCTGTAGGTGCAACTCTTTTCTGCCTTTCATTGCTGTCTCATGCAGTGAATCTGCCTGGAGTCAAGCAGTCCCATCAGGTGCCATTTGGTCTCTGTTCGTCTGTGGGCTTTGATGGTAAGCTGTCCCTACCTCTCTCCAGGACCATGAACCTCAAAGATAATCATTTCAATAAAGCTTTACCACTGTGTGTTTCATCTTCATTTCATTTTTGACTGTATCTATATGTTTCTAAATACAACCTTTTTGTTTTATCAAACACAACTGTTATGTGTTTAGGTCAATGGGCAGGGTGGATGATTTTAAATCATGAGCTCCAGGGATGCTCTTGACAGGATGTTATGTGTTAATTGTGAAGAGCAATCGCACAGAGTACCATGATGAATTATATTTATAATAAAGAAATTCTCTCACCTCAGCAGATTAGATAAATGAATATGTGTTGTGTTTTGCAAATTCATCTCTGTAGTTTTATGGAAAATTATTTCCTGGACTCATCTTTGAAAAGGAAACATACATCAGTGCATACAGAAAATATAAAATGTAATTTTGTTCAGTTAATCCTATTATTAGAAAGCCATGTTAGTTACCAGATACTCTCTATTCTTTGTGATCACATAATATTCTATGTGATCACATAATATTATCCCATAATTTTATGTATCACTTCACATATTTCCTCAATGCATCATTGTAAGACTTAATACATGATTATCTAAAAGAAGTTATATAATTTTGCTGTTTTGTTAAGTATGCTGGAAATGAAAAAAAACTGGTCAAACTAAAAGTACTATGAAAGCCAGAATATTAAATTTGCTATGAATGAATCATCTGATTTCAGTCACCAGGCTATTCTACTAGTCTTATCTCTTCAAAAATATGATAGGGGATCAGCCAACATAACTCTGGGTGGGGCAGTGGCTAAGTCCTAATATTTAAATTCTTTTCTCACATCTGACCTCCCCTCTTATAAAAGCTTGGGTTCATTCTCCATGTTCCCATAGACAGGGATATTTAATACACTGAAATGCCATAATTATTAATATAAACATATTATCTGAAGAAGAATTGAGCTCATGCATGTATCAGCCTGTCACGTTCCAGGTCATTTGCCTGCTCCTACTGTCAACAGAGACATAATCAGAAGGAATATGGTAGTGCCTAAGAGCTACTATGTGTGTTGCACTTTCTATAATCTCTCCTGGGCAGTTGATATTTATGTGTAAGCTTTACAGCACATTGCATTATGGTTGGTAGTAGAGCTTGGTGATTGTCCTGATGTCCATGTAGGGGTGTGGTTTATCTCTAAGACCATGTGTGTTCTCAGTGGTTGGACTTTTATACCCTTTCCAATTGACCTAAAGTAGCTAGAAGAGCTTCTGCATGTAGGAGATACTGACATACACATTCATATCTAGAGATATGAGTGGAAAATGAAGAGTGCACTCCTCATACAATTGATAAGTTATGGTTGGATGAAGTTCAACATTTTGTTGGAATAATGCCACCTAATCAATAATTCAGCAAAATGTTTATCTTTACTACAAAGTCCATAGCATCACTTAAAGAAAAATAGAGCATATTACAAAAACTGACTATATTTTATGTGTGGCTCTCCCTGTTATAAATTCCATGGAGGTAAATGAAGGTAATATTGAAGTAGATTTATTTATAAAGTCACATTTAATGGGAATGTTTAATCTACTTATGAAGAATCCTACAGGACCATAATCTATAATTAGCATAATTAGTACAGAACCTACTACTATGAAACTAATTTCTTTCTAAGCCTCTCAGATAATTTTAAATGCCTCGAGAAAGTGTATTTAAATTACCTGCACTAATGGAAAGAAGTTTAGATTATTTTTGATAAAGGTTTTAATTACCAAACCTTTTTTATTATGGTCTAAATTACTGAAGCCATGAAATTCAGATCTGAAGCACATGAAAAAGGAACCTTTTTATAATGTAATATCAGAAATATGTTTTACAACCTTCTAGCCAAGCTTTTTATAAAGAGTGTAACAGCAATGTGTGTATATGTATACATTCTAAGAACCTCTTCTGAGGTATGTTGAATTTCTGTGCTTAATGATTATTTTTCAGAAAACACAAAATATTTAAATGTTTCATCATTTTCTTACCACTCTGGAGTGTATTTCCTTGGCATACAATGGGAATAAAAATTCTGATTCTCCTTCTAGGCGAAGACCATCTTTTGTAACACGCAAATGACCCATTCCTGTCTGTTAAAAAGAGGAGACAATAGAGATTTTATTATTGCTTTCTTTTCCCCTTCTTTTAGTGTCAACTAGGATTACAGATGCATTTTCACAAATTTTCTATTGGCACTTTTCTATATTTCTCTTAAATACTCTATTTAAAACTTTAGTTGTTTTTATTCAATTGTCAGTATTTCATTAACTCTTGTGTAATACAAAGGACTATTTAAGAAATACATATTAGATTTAAAGAGTCAATGTATAATAAACACCCAAGAGCCCACCATGACCTAAGAAAAAGGTTCTTACCATTACTATTTAAAAACATTTTAAAAAATTAAGATGCAATAAAACAGACCATTTTAAGGTGTATAGTTCTATGAGTTTTAACCATACACAGGGTATATAACATTCTTTCACCACCACCCTCTACCATACCTTAAAGCTTTTCAAGCTTATTTGGTAAGTTTACAATATAGCAACTGTTTATTGGCCATTTCTTAAGTGAAAAGCAATATTGCAGGAAGTGAATCTCTATTCAATATGTCTGTTCTCAAGGAATTTTCAGTCATTAAGAATGATCACAAAGGATAGAAGACTTAATTCTGGTGATTATTGGTGCTATCAGAGCTGTTAAATCTTGTAGACATTTTTAAACTTCATTCCCTTTGTTTTCTCAGCAGAATTCAGCACTGGATCTCTTTCTTGTTGGAACACTATCCTCACCTGGTTTCTGGTATACCACGGTCTCCTAGCTTTTCTCCTTGGCATCCACACATATTTATCCCCTCTACCCAGCCTCTGACTGCTGGCCTTCACAAGCTCAGTCAGGCACTTTTCTATGACCCCTCCCTGACCACGCCCTCAGCTTCAATCACCATCTCGGTGTGGAAATTCTCACGTGTTTTTATTTGCAGTTTACATTCTTTCTTTTGATCTCCAGACCCATATATACAACTATCTCTCTCTCCCTTTTGAGTATCTTGGGAGCACCTAAATATAACAAACTTAAGTTCTGATCTTTGCTTTCTCCCCTCCAAGATAGAGGTAGGTTTAAAAAGGGGAGAGCAGAATGGTCAGGAAAATGAAACAAAAACATTAAGGGCCATTTTATAGGATGATAGGTGATTTTTGGGACAGAGATATGGTACTCTGAACTGAATGCCATAGATTTCTCTCTTCAAGAACTCCACTGGTTGATAAGCCTCATTAACAAGAACCAGATTCAATCTTGAATTACTCTGCTGGTTATCTGTCTGTAAACCACCATTATGGTCCTCTTCTCAAATTTAGGTGTGGGAGCAGTGGATATTGTAACTGTGCTTAATGGAAGTCTCTCAATGCTGCTGAGTTTGGGTCAATCCCCACCACAGGCAGAGCAGCTCTCCTGAGTCACACACATGTGACTCAGTGTAGAGCTTAGTTTGAAGAATGGGCTCAAAATCTAAAAAGTTGACAACTACTGTTCTACAGTTTCTCACAAAATCTAACCATGAATTGTAAGGCACAGTTTACGAAATTAAGCCAACATTAGCATATATAATATTGCTAATGTTGGCTTTAATTATGTATAATAAACCAATTTTTAGCAAACAGTTTTTGCCCTAGAGTTAACCAAAGTGAAGTTTCAAAATTACATATTCAAATCTGAAAATGTGCTGCTGAATTTCTGGGTTCAATGAAAAAAATGCCAGGAGTTTTTCTGGACTCTATTTTGCTATATTAGGGGAAAAAACAATAAAAAAGTAATGCTAATTCCAGCCTCTGAAGTAGCTCATTTACATAATCAGGCTGCGAAAGCTAGTTGTTCCTTGTCATGTGTCATTTCCTCCTCTTTGAAAACTGAGGAAATTGACATGAGGTAACCCAAACTCCTTCTACCTATACTATTCTATGGTTTTAATACAATGAATTACAACCTCTGCAAACAACCAATCATTCCTCAGTGCCTGAAAACAAAAGAATATACCTATTTGTCTAGGTTTTGTGTGTGTGTGTGTGTGTGTGTGTGTGTGTCACATATGTTGAGGCATAACATAAAAAATAAAATTTATCGTTTTCAGTGAACATTTTTGCACATTTTTCACAAAGTACAAAATATCAACACAGTGAGGATATAGAACAGTTTGAGATAATAAAAATGCCCCCCAGCAGTCACTCCCCACTCCCACACTCCCACACCTTGGCGACCATTGCTTTCTGTTCCAATAGTTTTGCCTCTTGCAGAATGTCATATAAATGGAATCATACAATATGCAGCCTTTGCAGACTGCCTTCTTTCTGTTCCAATAGTTTTGCCTCTTGCAGAATGTCATATAAATGGAATCATACAATATGCAGCCTTTGCAGACTGCCTTCTTTCAGTAGAATAATGCATTTGGCATTCATCCATGCTTGTGTGCATATCAGCAGTTTGTTTCTTTTTAGAGATGAATTGTATTCCCCTGAATGAATATACCACTATTTGTTTATCCATCTATCAGTTGAAGAACATTTAGGTTGTTTTGATGATTATTAAAAAAAAGTCTTCTGTGTGAACATAATTATCATTTCTATTGAACAAATGCCTAGTAATGGGATTGATGGGTTGTATGGTAAGTTTATAGTTTTTCTTATAAGAAATAAGAAACTGCAAACTGCTTTCCAAGGTACTTGTACCATTTTCCATTCCCATAAGCAATATATGAGTGCTCTGGTTCACTGTATTTTTGTCAGCACTTAGCATTGTCAGTATTTTTTTCCCATTCTAATAGGCATATGATGATATCATATTGTGGTTTTAATTTGTATTTTCTTAATGACTAATGATGTCAAGCATTTTCAACGTGCTTTTTGCTATCCGTATATCTTCTTTGGTAAAATGTGTGTTTAATTTTTTTCTACTCATTGTTTCTTTTCTTATTTTTGATGGTTTAGAGTTCTTTATATGTTCTGTATACAAATCTCTGTTGATATGTAATTTGCAAATATTTCCACCCAGTCAGTGGTTTTTTATTTCTTTAACTGTGTCTTTTAAAGAGCAAAAGTTTTTAATTTTCAAGAAGTTTATCATTTTTGTCTTCTATGCTTATGCTTTTGATATTTTATATGGAAGCTTTACCTAAAGCAAAGAAATATTTTCTCTCTTATATTTTTTTTCTAGAATTTTTAGTGTTAGAATAAACATTTAAGTCTAATTCTTATGTTTGTTAACTTTTATGTATGGTGTGAGGTACAGATAATGATTATTTTGCATATGGATATCTAATTATTTCAGCTCAATATAGTGAAAATTTTTACCAATGTCCACTGAATTACTTTTGTACTTTCGTCAAAAATTAATTAACCATGTATGGTTGTATTTCTGGATTCTCTATTCTGTTCTACTGACCCATGTGTCTATCCTTACTACACTGTATTGGTTACTCTAACTTTACAGTAAGGCTTGATATCACATAGTATGAGTTTACTAATTTTGTATTCTTCAAAACTGTTTTGGCTATTTTAATTCTTAAAAAGATTTTTGCTATGATACAGTATGCTTAACAAAACTTGCCATTGTAGCCATTTTTAATTGTATAAGTTCAGTGATATTAAGTACATTCGTATCGTTGTGCAATCACCACCATCTATCTCCGTAACTTTTTCATCTTTTCCAACTGAAACTCTGTACTCACTAAACAACAACTTCCCATCTCCCAATCTCCCAAACTCTGGTAATCACCATTCATTCTACTTCCTGATTCTATGAATCTGATTATTTTAGGTACCTCATTTGAGTGGCATCATATAAATTTCTCTCTTTTTTTAAAACTGTATTCTAGTTTCTTGCCTTTAAATATAAGTTTTAGAATCAGCTTGTCTATTCTACAAAAATTTTTGCTGGGATTTTGATTAGCAATGTACTGAATATAAGTATCGATTTGGGAGAATGGACATTTAACAACAATGCATCTTCCAATGCTTAAGCACTATTTCCCATTTACTTAATTTTAAAGATTTCTTTCATCTGTGTTTTGTATTCCTCAACATACAAATCATCCATATTTTGCTAGATTTTTACATAAATACTTCATGTCTCTTGGTGCCATTGTAAACGATATTTTTATTGCATACCAGTTTCCATTTAGTCAGAATTGTTCTGGTTTATGCTTTTTCCTTCCTTTATTTTCAAACTCCCTCCATTTTTTCCTTTGTGTCTCTTGTAAGAGATTACAGATGATAATTTTAAAAGCACAACTTGAAAATGTCTATTAATAGTTTAATGTTCACACTCAATGAAATTACTGAAATATTTTGATGGATTTCTACTATCTTATCTTTCCTTAAAAAAATTTACAGTAGTTATTGACTATAATCTCCTATAACCTGGGAATCATTTTGTCAGTAAAATGGCCTCTTGAGTGCTGATACCCATACCAAATCTCTATAAGAATATTGTGGTTTTAAGAATAAAAAAGATTAAAAAAAAGATGTAAGGTTCCATTAATCCCAAGTGTTCTTGTTAAATAAAATGCTTCATCTGGGTGAAGAGGGCATCTATGAAGAGGCATGATCAGTATTGGGTGTCAGGTTCCAAAAGGGTGAATAGTACCCTCAACATTGAAGCTCCCAGTGAAGGGTGTCAAGCTCAGGTGGAATGGGGAGGTATCTGTGTAGGAGAGAGAGTGTTGGTGGAGGTATGAGAGTAGAAACATGAAGGGGAGTGATTAAATAAGTAGATGAAAGAGCAATGGGAGCCAAGTTCCTCATGTCATGGAAGGGAGGTATAAATTATATATAATATAATATAATATAATATAATATAATATAATATAATATATATATATATATATATATAATTCTGTCATGTTGGATTGAATTTAAAATTTGTATGAACCCATGGTGCTCCGTGGTGTACGCGGATAGGTAGAGAAATAAATGTTCATACAAAGGTGTGTGTGTGTGTTAGTTATATGTCTTCTGACTGGGTCTGGGAGAGTAGCACCACGTCAACAGCCATGAGAATGTCTGGCATTTGAATCTTCACTTCTAAGTACTGTTCC